TGAATCCCCGGGACTGACGTCACCCGTTTATTTTAGTACGGAGCAGCTCGAGCTCAATTCAGCCAGGCGCACGCTCTGATGAGAAAGGTGGCGGAAGCGGTGCTCTTGCGCGCTGTTTAACTGTAAATAACGCGCATACATCAAATATAGCAAGATTTTTTTTGTTTTCAAAAGTCTTTGAAATGCTGCTGCGTGTTGAAGTCCACGTGTAAATAATTAGGTAGAATTTACTTTGCTAGATCCATATTACTATACATGCTGCTAAAATTATTTATCAACAAGAAAAACAATGTGATGCATACGATGCAAAATGAGTAAATAAACAAGTTTGGTTTATGTTGTTTTCTCCCACAACAATAAACTTATTTAATAATAAATAAAACAATGTGTTGATTTATTTGAAAATGATTTATGAGTCATTCATTCAAATAAATAAAACGTGCAAGGAAAATGTGACCGTCTTCATTCTGTGCATGAAGAACTGCTAGAAGTCGCATTGAGGTTTTGAAGTCTGCTCATAAAATACATTTAATAATTCAAAGCCCAATAGGATTGATGGAAAGTAGTGGGAGTTTGGTGATTTTTGTATCTCTCGAAGTGCAGCAACAGGGTGACACAGCATCCTTCAGCACGGGCGGAGGACAGAGTCAATGCACGAGACACTTCCTTCAGTCACTTACATGCATTGCCTATTTTGGTTGCAGATGAAATGGAATGACAAAAACAGATTTGTGATGTGTCCTTTAAAATATTGTGGTCACACTTTAATGCTTAATATCATAAATACTGAGTAATATAAATGAACAACCTGTGCTTAATACGCAGTTAGTAGCTACTTAGAACTGACTCTCTCGAGCATGCACTGACACTCACACAGTTCAAGAAGAAAAACATATACTAGAACAGCCCACCATGACCCTAAAAAGCTTGAGCGGGAGACTTGGAGCATAATGCAATAAACTGCAAATGCAATGTGTTTTAAGTGCTTAATTTCACAGTTGGACCTTATATTGGTCACTTTTATTATACAACAAGTGGAACAAGCATTTTAATAGATCATGTGATAACTGAACTGTTTGTTAGGGTGGTTTAGTTTTAAACAGCCTGCTGTCTCAATGCCAATATAGTTTCACGCTGTGTTGCGTGTCTTTTTTGGGCTGTTTTCTTCGTTTAAGGAAAGTCCCCTTATTTGACCGCAAATATGTTAACCTATATCAAATTTAGGAGTGTTGTTATTGCTTTAAGAAAGACGTCATCAGGGGATAATGCATTTCGGGAACACTTTACATTAGTGTCCATTATATGCATTTTATAAATACAGGTGTTTAAAAAAGCAACAGTATTAAAACTGTATTTACAAGTAGCATATATAAAGTACAAATTTTGCATTAGTGTAAATGTAATTGCACTTTTTCATTAATTCTTATTTCAATTAATTCAATTTGACCTGTGTATTTCATAGTTAAAGACAAGAACACACACACACACACATATATATATATAAACATGTATTTTTATGTCAGTTTCTCGACCCTCAGAAGGTTTTTACATTTACCATTTATGCATTTGGCAGATACTTTTATTCGAAGAAATGTGTGCTACTTTGAAGGTGTACATTTTTCTCAGTTCATAGCATGCTCATGAATTTTGCTGGGAATCGAACCTGTGACCTTGCCGTTGCTAGCGCCATACCCAGCTTTAGAAAAGCACACAAAAAAAATCTAAATTAAAAATTATAAAAAAAAATATTCAAAATACTTTAATATTTGCAATTTGTGAAAAAAAAAATGTTTTAAAAAATCCTACATTCATACTTGAATTTTTTTCTCAAATGTGACCATGGACCACAAAACCAGTCATAAGGGTAAATTTTTCGAAAATGAGATTTATACATCATCTGAAAGTGGAATAAATAAGCTTTCCATTGATGTATGGCTTGTTAGTACAATATTTGGCCGAGATACAACTATTTGAAAATCTGGAATCTGAGGGTGCAAAAAAAATCTAAATATTGAGAAAATCGCCTTTAAAGCTGTCCAAATGAAGTTCTTAGCAATGCATATTACTAATCAAAAATTAAGTTTAAAAATATGTACAGTAGGAAATTTACAAAATATCTTCATGGAACATGATCTTTACTTAATATCCTAATGATTTTTGGCATGAAAGAAAAATCTATAATTTTGACCCATACAATGTATTTTTGGCTATTGCTACAAATATACCCCAGCGACTTGAGACTGGTTTTGTGCTCCAGGGTCACAAATGTGAGTTGTATTAAAGGTTCTCACATAGGAGAACCTTTAATACCCCTTCCTCAAAATGGGATTTTAGTGAGTTGTATTGTATCTAATTAGGGTCAGTTTGACAGAGCAATGATCATACCCAGAATTTTAACATAATACAAGAGTTAGTGTAAAGTACAGTGTGACCTCATTTTTTCTACCTAATTTTCCATTTAATTGTTCTTTATAAATAGCACTGGTTAGGACATTTGAACAAAATATTACAGACATATTGAACTCTCTTTAAGTACAAAAATGACTAATAGATCATCGTGCTCATACCTTGCTGGTTAAATGAGAAGCGTGCACAATGTGCTGAGGCTCACAGTTAAAATAGCTTGCATATTAACTTAACAATAAGCTTACTAAAAGCACAGAAGGAAAGTGGCACTCACAGACCCACACTGGACATATTAAAGCTTCAAAAATGTCCTATTTCTTACTAAACTGATGGTTCCCACTCATATTTTCCTCCTTCTGCCTTTGCATCGGTTCATTTTATTTCACAAATGTCATTTAAGTCGTGGAAGGTTTCAGTCTGATGTTGCACTTCACAAAGGGGGATTTTAGAGCGATACTTCTGACGACGCTGTCAAGTGTCAATAATTAAACATTTACGGTACCTGTCTGACACTTAAGTCACACTTCTGCAGTTTTTACAGACAACAGCAAAGTTATACCTCAGTGTTTTACCTTGAAATCGATTTGGGACTCTCCAATCTGACTTGGTACTACATACAAAGCTGCTCTGTCTACGACTCACAAGCACATTAATACGAGTGTCAGCAGTGTGTGGAAAACAGCTTTTTACCTCTTTTGCAGATCGACATGAAAGGTCACAGAAAGTGCATTGCCTTAGAGAAGCATGGGCTGCTGGCTCCTAAGCTTGAATTCTTAACAAGCTTAACTTCCTTTGCGTTGACCAGGATGAATACAATGTCATGTCATAAGAAAGCTGTAAAATGATACAGTCATCAATCTACACATATAGGCAATAATTGTTTTGTACCACTGAAATTTACACATTGTGTGTAGGTACTTACTATTCTGGATGACAGCTAGTATTAATAATGAACAAAATAAAATAACAATGTAAAACAATGAGCAGAATTATTGATATTTAACATTAATGTCCCCTTTTTCACTGTCAAAAGACAAAATACATCCATTTAAACCACAAAAATAAATAAATAAATAAATGAATAATAATAATTCAAAAACTATATTTCAGTTCTGGTCCTTTGAACAATACATACATATTTTATTAAATATCACAAAATTATTTTACAGTCTCATAGAATTTTATATA